AAACCAAAGACTTTCTCTCTCTTGTAAAAAAAAAAAAAAAAAAAAATAATGATTGGAAAGCTTCTCCATGGGACAAAGGGTGTCCATGCCCTGAACTTGGGACAACGTTCTAGACCAGGAGGAGTTCCTGCCATAAGTGTTGCATTCAGCCAGCATTTGGAGGAGATGGGTGCCTACCTTCTGGCCTCTTTCTTTTAAAGTTCAAATACAGTTCTGGGGAGCCCATTTTCTCCCATTGCATTTTTCCAGGGTCAGTGCTGGGGCTGTGTAGCTCCTAGCTGCCTCTTTCCCAATCTTTCTGTCAGCCAGCTGGCTTCCTGGATTATAGCGGTGTTAGTGTCCCATGGCTGAGCTGTGTCACTGGCTTAGGGATGTGGTGAGAGTGCACCTAGGCCTTAGAGCAGCGGGCAAGAGGCTAGAGCCCAGGTCCAAGCAAGTGACAGCTGCCATCTGCCCTCAACGCCAGACTAGCTCCTTCCTCACTTCCCCGGATGTGTACCTTTATTGGTCTCCAATTACCACTCTTGTTTCAGGCTCTTAGTCTTGAGACCTCCATCCTTCCTCCTGGGTTACACCCACATCCCCCCACCTCACAACCAGGTCTCCCGCACCCAGCAGTCCTAGCTTCCCAGGGATCATAGAATTGCCACAAGGCAGGGGCTTGCAAGGAGCCAGGAGGAGCTGGGAGTTAGTTCTTTCCCCTGATCCTAGTCTCGTTGTATAGCCCAAGTTTGCCTCCAACTCAGAGGCTGTGTGTGCACAGCCTCCTGAGTGCTGGTATATCAAGCCTGAGCCAGCATGCCTGGCCCCAGATCATGTTTCTACGTCTTATGGACTATAACTCACCCCAGGGCTGAGGCCCCATATTGTGGATGGGATTGTGTTAGGGATTACACCAGGAGGGGTAAGATAGTGGGAGCCCGGTGGGAGTCACAGGAGGAAAAACAGCCTATTTATTAAAATAGTTGGAGTACCAACTAGATTCAGAGGGGTAGGTGCCTGGCTGTTTAGAGACTGTGACTTGAGTGTGGAAGGCCAAGGAGGGTTCCTATCCTAGGAAGTGGCATTTGACAGGAGCCAGATCAGATAGCTTAACTTGGGATATGGGCAGCCAACCAGGGTGATGGGGTTTTTGAAAGAAAAAAAAAAGTCTTGCCCTTCATCTGACAGATTTCCTCGAATCAGCCTCATGAGATCTGCAGCCCCGTGCAGACGGTGGTTCTAACCTCTTTCTCTTATCTCTTCATGGCCTTCCTCTCCTGCTCTCCTCCCCCAAAGGAAGGGAAATCTTCAAAGAAAGAGATGTGTCACTGTAAGTATATAGCCCAAGAAAATGGGCTAGATAAATTATTAAAACAGAAAAAGACAGCAAGTGATGGGGTGGGGGAGCCCGCAGAGGGCAAAGGTAGGTGGTGCCCCGGGTGGCAGCTAGTGAGTTCATCCTGAGAATCCTAGACAAGAGATCCTGGCTGGCCCCACCTGGCCCACTTTCTGTCTTCTCATGCCAGGGTCAGGGGAGGGCGTAGATGGAAGTAGTGAGGGTCCAGCAGCAGCAAAGTCCCAGGCGCCTGGCGGGGCCCTGTGTCTGGCCAGACACTTGGGATTTACTTCCCCTAAGACTCAAGCTGGTAACTACAGAGTTTTAGTCCTTGCTTTTATCTCTTTTTGAACTGCAAAGAGACATTCCCAAGGGGCAGAGGGGATACTGTTTTCTCATGAAAGAAGAAAGCCATGACAGGTTTAAGGAAGTCACCATCATTCTAAGCTCTATGAGAAAGAGTTTCGCTTTGATTTCGGAGCCTCTGGCACTGGTGTGGCTGTGGGTGAGAAAGACAGGCAGGGACCCCACAGGAACTCCACGTCTATAGCAAGGGCTCTGCAGGATATTCTCTGTCAGCTCAGGACTTAGGACCTGGGCACTCTCCCCTAGTTCCTGGGTCTGCTCTTCTATTTCCTCACAGCTCACGTGCCTCTCCCTAGACATCTGGGCCAGGTGGTTCTGGGGGTGTCCTGGGCATAATAGGCCTTTGGCAGTCTCCCTGACTGGTTTGGACAATATTAACCCTTTCCCGGATGCACGCTGCCGTGTGCCATTCATCATGGTTGCTGTTTTTTGTCTCTCTTCCTCCACCTGGGACATGGGGGGACAGGTCCATGAAAGTGGCACTATCCATTTTACTCAGATACCCATTTAAAGTGTTAGAGCAAGGTTTACCACAGAGCTGGCACGCACTGTTTCCTTCCAGATCTTAGGCTTGGAATGTGCTGGAAACCTGGGGTAGTGAAAAATGAGTACCAGTGAAGGAGCAGCTTGAGGTTGGTTCTTAACGAGGTCACTAATCAGCTGCGTGATGGGTAACTCCTTGGGCAAGTAACCCCACCTCTCTGAGCCTATCCAACAGGATCCGTCGTTTCCACAAGTACAAAAGTCTGCATCAGGAGTGACTGTGAGAGCCAGCCTGGTCTAAAGAGAGTTCCAGGACAGGCTTCCAAAGCTACAGAGAAACCCTGTCTCAAAAAAACAAAACCAAAACCGGAACCCAACCCAAACCAAAACAGAAGTGATTGTGAGGATGATGGGCACAGAAATAAACAGGTACTAAAGATATGGCGATATAAAACTGACAGCCGACCAAGTGTGGTAGCTTACACCTGCATCCCAATGCACAGGAGGCTAAAGCAAGAACATTGTTGCAATTTCAAGACCAGCCTGGGCTACAGTGTGAGCCCTTGACTCAAAAGAAGCTGAAAACCAAAAAAAAAAAAAAAAAAAAAATCAACTGTACTATTTTGCTGTTTTATGAGGTCCCAGCCATGCTTGAAGGAGCACATCCTGCAAGAGATTTAGGTGTGCGCTTAGAGTAGCTTTCATTTCCTCCAAACAGGGTGTGAAAACATGGAGAGGGATGAAGATTCTGGAGGGTCACACAGCTCTGGGTTCTCTTGAGACAGGTAGGTGCTAAGAGTTGCATTTCACAGTACAGTAGCCACGAGCCCCATGCAAAGCCACTTGCAGCAGTGTGGCTGTTCTGCTTGAGATGTGTGTAAGTGTAAAATGCAGACCAGACTTTAAAGACAGTGAAAACTTATTAAGCGATAACTTATTAAGTATTGATGCCATTTTGGCTGTAGTGGGTCAAACTAATTTCACTTGTGTCTTTTTTAATTTTAAGTCACATTTATTTCTTTAGTATGTGAGTATGTAGGTGGACACTTGAGTGCCACAGCACTCATGTGGAGGTCAGAGGACAATTTTGCAGCAGATGGGCCTCTCCTGTGACCATATGATCTCTGGGGATGGGACAGATCCCCAGGGTTGGTGGCAAGCACCTTTACCAGCTGAGCCATCTGGCTGAAACACCTGTTTCTTTTAACTTTTCAAAAATTGTGGTGCCTAGGGCTGAAGACATAGCCCAATAGCTGAATGCTTGCTCGTCAATCGTGACCAGTGTTTTGGGTTTGAGTCCCAGAGCTCCTTCCACGAGGTGACTACTTGTAAGTCTAAAATGACAAACGTGCTCACCTGTTTCTATTGAGTAGCGCTGCACAGGGAACAAGCAAAAAAAGGGTAGAACTAAGTATCCATTGTACAGATCATAAAACTGAGGCCAGCAGCCTAGTCTAGCTTTAATAGCAGATCTGGTTCTTTCCCACGCTCACACTGCCAGATACCAGGATGAGCCTTAGCGCAGGGCCCCGGTGTGGCCAGCAGAGACAGCATTCTCAGGACCACAAAGGTGGGATGGAAGCCTTCAAGTCGCCCTCCCCTTTGCAGAGACCTCCCTAGACAAAACAAACAGGCCCTTGGGGTCTGGAGAACTGCAGGGGGGAGGGGGGAACGGAAACTAAGAAAGATCAAAGACCCGGCGGTTCACCGCTCCCGGCCTCACAGCTTGGCAGCTGGCCCCGACTCCAGTTGGGCACTCACGAGCCCATGGGCGAGGAGTTGCTAGCGATTGGAGGACAGCTTGGGGTATCTGGACACTTGTCGTTAACAAGAGTGGGCTGAACCCGCACTCGCCTGCGAGGTGTCCTGGTGATTTCTACCTGACTCCCAAATGAAAGAAAAACAACCTTAAAATCTAGAGGAGTCAAAAAGGGGGCGCGGGCACGCGGCTGGAAATACGGACCACTTTCTGTAGAAGGCTGGGCACGGGAAGTCTGGGAAGGGACAACACCGTGGGAGAGCAGCAGACGCGTGCACCCGTGCAGCTAAGGTCACCGGTCGCGACCTCAGTTTCCCCAACTGTGAACCCGAGCTATCTAGTCTCACTCTGACGGCTCCGAGGAAACGCAGAGAAGAGGGAAGTCGCAGTACCACCAGCGAGGGCAGCGCTGCTCCACCACCCGGCGGTCAGAGCCTCCGCCCGGTCCCCATTCCCGCCCCTGAGTCCGCGTAAGGGGCTTGGGGCTCAGCACATCCAAAGCCCCTCCCCACCAAGGCCGCCCCGCCCACAGACCACGCCCTCTATGGACCCGCCCCTCGGCAGGCCCCTACTCGCAGGCCCCGCCTCTACCCGCCCCGCAGCGTCCGCCTCGCCTTTGATGGGCCGCGGCCGGCCAATGGGCGCTTGGGGAGGCGCGGGGC